ATTCAATATCAGATGTGTTCTGTTTTCCATGAACATGAGAAATAATTTGATCTTAAAATTAGATTCTTAAGGATTAGTCAGTGTACACACCTGATTTGTCAAAATCTGATGGTCAGCACGAAGCATCTTCTGGTTGTATAATACTTTACAGTTAACAAAGCACATTCCGTTACCTCTTCTTATCTTGCATAAGAATGAGGGCAGGCATGATTAGACTTATTTGACAGACATAGAACTAGGAGCCCAGAGAGGTTAAGTCAGCTGCTTCAGTTTACACAGCTAGTAAGTGATAAAACTAGGACTACACCTGGTGGTCTTGTCTGAATGCTGGTTAATACAGGCGGAAGACAAAACACTGCACATTGATCAGTGAGTTGCTTTTCTTAAACCAAGTGGATGTTGTGGTGTTTGGAAGTGGTTCTGTTATTCTGTCACAAAATAGAGATTTCTAACAGGTTACCTATCATGTTATACGTCAGCAAGCTTAAACCAATAGAAGCAGTTTATACAACTCTCATAGAGTGTCCACATATATGTTTAACAAGATTCATAACATGGATTTAAAGTATATGCTAAATCACCAAGATACCATAATGTGAAATCGATTTGATTTTTTTCAAGCGCATTCTCTGCTCACGTAATTATTTTAATATAGGTATGAAACCAGTCTTAGCACAAATTATCTTTGCAAGGAACTTTGGAACCTAGAACACTTTCCCTCCTTTGCTGTCTTCTGTTCACTCCCACTTTTGAGTGTTTACAAACTCATTTGAACATTTTTAAGTTCCTGGAGGATGAAGATAAGCAATATTCCATTGACATCTTACACCCTAAGGACCTAGCACAGTGCTGTGCATACAACAAGCCTTCAGCACACAGTTGCTGAATGTGTACATACAGCTTTTATGTACATCAATTTGGCTGAAGTTAAGAGTTTTAGATTTATAATAAACCATCACTTTGATAGTAAACAACAGTTTTAAAAAAATATAAGAAACACAATAATACATTTAATACAAATTTATGCATTATAACTACTCTTTGGTAATTTTTAACAATTTTTTTTGTACTAAAATACTAAAAATATAAAAAAGCAACTACAGAAATGAGCTTAATCTGTAAACATAATAAACTTTGTAAACATATATTTACTACATAATTATGCACGTATAAAGAATAAGGCAAGTATGTACATTGAGTTTAATTCTTTAAAGCATACTTAGAAATATTGCTTTCTGAAGCTCTATTTTTATGTTTGAAGAAGGAATTCTAACCACACAAAAACAGGGAAAAAAGTAATGACTATGCCAATGAACCAGAAGGATAGATAATGGCAAGAGGAAGGCTTTCATACTTTTTACTCGTTGCAGTCTTGAATTTGCTTCACATATCTTATGAATCACTTTGTTGAGTAAAACTACATATTAACAAAAATTGAATACTTTTAAAATGAAGAAACAAACCAAGTGGGTCAGTTGACTTTACAAGGTTTTTCCAAAAATCTGGGCGATAAGGTGCATTAGGCATGTCTACATTGTAATAAATAGCTGCAGGCAGCACTAAACATATTGCAGTTTACTCAATATTAAATTATTTACCCCCACGGTTCAGTTTTCCTTCTCAAAAAGCATCAAACTTTTCACACATAATACTTTTCACAAATATTTCACAGTCATAATTTCAGTAGTTTAAGAAAGAAATGCCTGGCAAATACTGTAAGAGGTAAAGGTTGAGACAAAACTCACTACATGTCAGGCACACAGGACTGATACACCCTTTAGTGTCAACTCTAAAGACAGAGTTAAAAAAAAACTTTGTAAATGCAACGCATTACTTTATAGTGATTAAAGTAATAGTATGACAACGTCACCATTTCTCCTAATGCTAGTAGAGGGTTTTCTTGAGTATCTGAGAAGAGTCAATGGCGATGCTCTTAGTAGTTCCCTGGACAATTTTAAGTCCTGATTTTGTTTTTAAATTATTGCAGCAGTACAACATTGTAGATCATTATTTATAATTATAATCTAATCAACCCCATCAAAACCCTGAGTGTTCTCAATCGCCATCTGAAGTTTATCCCATAATTCTTCAAATGATTCATAAGGTGGTAAGTCCAAGCGATTGAAACTGAAAGAATAGAGGAGTTGGTTATGAGAGACACTGACATGGCAAATACAATAATGCTGACATTTGTGATGAGGCTACATTCCCACAACCCAACACGTCTTATCACCAGGGGTATAGGACTGGGATGGATCTCCCCATGACTCCGTAGTGGAGTCTCTCTGCACTCATGCTATAGAGGCAAAATATGGTCAACAATTTAGATGGGCCACTCCAACACATCACAGAGAACTAAAATTTCTTTCAGTTTCCTCTGCACCAACCACTAGCCATTGCTTACCAGGTGTGAGCTCTAGGCAGCTTTTCAGGGGTACCCCACTGTTCAACTGTAAAAGACTGTGGTCCATTTGAGCCTACAAGAAAGAAGAGTTTCTCTGGTTCTTTTATTCAATACAGAAATTCCTAGCATGTCAGAACTCACTTTTTCTAATATAGAACTTCCATATCCACTCCCATTGCTATGGAGTTGATTCTGATTTATAGCGACCGTATAAAACAGAGGAGACTTGCTCCACAGGGTGTCTGATACTGGTGGGTTTGAATTGTTAACCTTTGCAGTTAGCAGCCGGACATGCCACTGCACCACCTTTAGAACTTATATTGTTGTTGTTAAGTGCCGTCGAGTCGGTTTTGACCCATAGCAATCCTGTACAGGGTTTCCGGGGGGGAAATCTTTATGGGAGTAGAAAGCCTCATCTTTCTCCCACAGAGCAGCTGGTAGCTTCGAACCGCTGACCTTAAAGTTCGCAGCCCGATTCGTAACCACTACACTACCAGAGTTCCTTATATAGGAAAACAATTTGGTTCTTTCAACTCAAAATGAATGAAGTGTATGTTGATTTCAATGTCTAGCCTTAAAAAGAGGATTCTTCTTCTGTCAGTTCATTTTTACCATTCTGACACTCTGCCTCTACTGGTGGTGTGTCTAATGAACTTTTACTGTTCCTGAGCCATGTGCATAGCTGTATTTCTACATACTGTTCCCTTTATAGGTACACAGATAAAATTATAAATGCTTAACTAGCCAAAAGGTTCACAATTCTAACCCACCCAGCTGTACCTTGGAAGAAAGACGTAGCTTTTGAAAGGTCACAACCTTGCAAATTCTAGGGAGCAGTTTTAGTCTGAGCTGGAATCAATTCAATGGCAACTAACAACATCATGAATAATACAAGTTTACTGTAAAAAAAAAAAATTAAAGCGATACAGAAGTACACAGTGAAGGATGTAAAACTTACCTCAGATCCCACCATCTTAGTACTCAGAAATAACTTCTGGGTGAATATCTTGTCATGAACCTTTTGGTGCATGTGCACATATAGAATTTTGCATGCATATGAACATGTTATACATACATGCTATTTTTCTTCTTATATTATGACTCTTTCCTCTACAATTTCAGCTCTTTCAACTACCCAGGTCATCCATGTTAATGACCTGATAATAACCTTCCATACTTTTCTCCATGTGTGTGTGAGTATAATAGCAGAAGCAGCACAAATACACTTTATTTTCTCTATATTAAAGTCAAGGAGTTCTGGTAGCATAGTGGTTACGAATCGGGCTGCGAACCTTAAGGTCAGCGGTTCGAAACTACCAGCTGCTCCGTGGGAGAAAGATGAGGCTTTCTACTCCTGTAAAGATTTACACTCTTGGAAACCCTGTACAGGGTCACTATGGGTTGGAACTGACTCGATGGAACTTAACAACAACAACATATTAAAGTCATCTCAAAAAAGCATACCTTTTTACACATCACCTCCCTCCACTGTCACTGCTAAAGCTTCAGTACTTTTGTTGCTGTTTTTTATAACCTAGAATCATTATTATATGTAGTTCTCCCTCTTGATTCACTCACTCACCTAAACTGTCTCTCGTAAATGTCCTTCTAAGTCAACAGATACAAACTTAACATACTTTTATTGGCTTTTGCATTATAATAGTAACACTTTAGAGTAACATCTACATTATTAGATAAATACATAATAATCTGAATTTATATTCTAACACAAACAACTTGGGATCTGTGAAGAGAATTTTCTCCCAGTTGTAAACAGCTCATGAAATCAGCTGTGAATGAGAGCAGGCCTGGGATCTCTAAGGAATCAGAGTGCAGGCAGAGATAGGTAAGGGCCATGGTTTGGCTGACCTTCATTTTTCTTTACTCCTTGGCTAAAAAATAGAAGAGAGAAGTGAAGTTGGGGAAAGTACTAAAAACGCAAAGGTTAAGAAATCCAATTAGGCAACCAAGTGAGCAACCAAGTTCCTGCCTAATTATTCTTGTGTGGTTCCTCCAGGTGGAGAAGTGTCAGTTGCCTGACAGGTTCTGTAAACAAAGTTTAACAAAGAGACCAGATTTACTGAGATGATAGAGGGGACTAACAATTCTTTCAGATAGTACAGCTTCTTCTTTTTTTTTTTTTTAATTCATTGCTCTTCATGTTGAAAAATTTTTTTTTATTCTGTTGAGAACATATACAGCAAAACAGACAACCAATTCAGCAGTTTCTGGGTGTATCATTTAGTGACACTAACTTCAATCTTTGAGGTATGTACCCATCTCAACTTCCTTTTCTGAATTGGTATAAGGAGCTCTGGTAACGTAGTGGTTACAAATCAGACTGCAAACCACAAGGTCAGCAGTTCAAAATTACTAGCTGTTCCGCAGGAGAAAGATGAGGCTTTCTACTCCCGTAAAGATTTACAGCCTCGGAAACTCTGTACAGGGTTGTTGTGAGTTGGAACCGACTCCACGGCACACAGCCACCACCACCATTGCCCCCTTAAAAAGAACTCACTGCCCCCTGAGGTAACTATCTATTCTTTCGAGTTATTAACAATTTGATTCCATTTAGAAGTCCTGATAGGTGCTGTAGGATAAACACTGGACTGCTACCCACAAGATTGGTGGTTCAAACCCACCAGCCACTCCTTGGAAACCCTATACAGGATCAAAGTGAGCTGGAACCAACTCGATGGCACTTAACAACAGGTAGTTCTTAAAAGAGCTTAATGCTCAAGGCAGAACTTCTTTATTAGTTAAGCTAAGCTACTAATTGGTAGACTTCAGGGGATTTTTTTATTTAAGGTTTACAGATTGTTTCAGGGATTCATTTAACCTTCATGTCTTTAGAAAGTCCTTGAGTCCATGAGAATTTAAAATTCTGATCTTTTATCAAAACATTCCGTAATGGTAGTCAGTCTCACATATACCATCCAGTTCTGGTTTATGACAAAGGTGGCAATTATTCATAGAGGCAATTAGCTAAGTAATGTTGAGTCAGTTTCGACTCATAGTGACTCTGAATAAGGGTTTCCAAGGAGCGGCTGGTGAGTTTGAACCTCCCACCTTGTGGTTGAGCGCTTCTCCTGCAGCACCACATCAGGACTCCACTCATTCCATATCCTTCTCCTATTTCTGTTGTTCTAAGGGAATGAAGACCAATCGTGTCTTGGATGGCTGTTTATAAGCCTCTAAGACCCCAAGCACTACTCAACAACTAGGAGGTAGAATAGAATCACTAAACATGTTACTATGCCAATTAACAGACTATACCATGAAAATTTCAACCTTGGAGCTGCCTAGGCCACAATCTAATTTCTAGTTCCCAGAACAATTCTATTGTGTTTACTAGTGTGTTATAAAAACTCAAGAGAAGGTTTTCATCTTTGATGGTTTACCAGGGGTGGAAGGGAAGGGAAAATAATTCACTCACTAATTAAGAGAGTGAACAGGTACTAACTTGGGTGATAGGGATGACAGTATACAAGAATGGGAAGATGACAAAAGAATGAAGTCAGGTGAAGACACAGGGAAGTATGCAAGGGTTATTATGTATACAACATTGGAATAAGTGTGTTCTGTGGGCAGATATATGGACAGATACATAGGATGAATGAGTATGTGTGGAGTATACCCATAAATATGTAAGGGTGTGAAAGAGGATTCTTTGTACACAGGTATTTACCTTTGCTGTAAACATACCTATGAAAGTGGTGGAGCATACAGGGGGCAAATGATGAAAACTTATTGGATATTATCAAACATCTTAAGGCAATGAGTTGCTGTGCCTGAGGACTTGGGGCCATAGTTTCAGGGGACACAATGGTCAAATGGCATAAAATAGTTCACAGAGACAATGTTCTACATCCTACTTTGGTGAGTCCCTTCTTGGATTTTAAAAGCTCATGAGTGACTGTCTAAGACACAGATCTTGGGCTCTCCATGTGCAGAAGAAAGAAGGGTGATGAGGACTAGTGGACCAATGGAGTAGGTGAACATCAGTCACCACGGCTCTGAGTCCACAAGAACTAGTGGTACCCGGCTAGTGCCCTGAAAGGGATCACATTAGAAGGTCCCAGATAGGAGAAAATGTGGAACAAAACTCAAACAGAAAATCAGGCTTCCTGAGCAAAAAGAGCCTGGAGGAACCCAAGACTATCGCCCTTGTCCACCTTCAGGAACTCACCTTCATGGCTCAGGGCTATCTATACTTTTCAGCCAAGCAGTTAATAGGTATATGGGGGGTGGGGGGAGTGCACAGAGGCAACAATACTAAGTTATTGTCACTATGGAATGGTCAGCCATTCAAGATCAAAAGGGCAAAATTTAACTAAGGACAAAGTTAAGAAGGAAGGGGAAGAAAGGTGGAATGGAAATATGAACCACAGGGAGGAAATGGGACAAGGGTTGTTGCATGGAAAGGACTGAAACAAATTGTATGGTTAGTTGAATGTCAGATTGATCAGTAAAGTATAACAAAAGTACGTGTGTTTAGTCCGCTGTTGTTGTTGTTGTTGTTAAGTGCCATCGAGTCGGTTCCGACCCATAGCGACCCTGTATAGGGTTTCCGAAGGTGTAAATCTTTATGGGAGTAGAAAGCCTCATCTTTCTCCCGCGGAGCAGCTGGTAGTTTCGAACCGCTAACCTTAAGGTTCGCAGCCCGATTCGTAACCACTATGCTACCAAAGCTCCTTATATATATATACTTGTTAACATACACAGTATAGATCATGTTTCTATAATGGAATTTTTCATTTCCAGTTTTCCTCTTCACTATCTGAGTCAATTCAAACTCATGGTGATGTCTGTGTGTCAGAGTACCTTTCTCCACAGGGTTTCAGTGGCCAAGTTTTGGAAGTAGATCAGCAGGCCTTACTTCTGAGGTGTCTGGGTGAATTCGACCTCCAACCTTTTGGTTAGCAGCCAAAAATGTACAGTTTGCATCATCCAGGACTTCTCACTATGTGATTAAACTAAGCCAAACTCACTGCTGTCAATTAAATTTCGACACAGTGATTTTATGTAAGGTTTCAGAAGCTACAAATCTTTATGGGAGCAGAGGGCCTCATCATTCTTCTTTCATTTAGCAGTCCAATGCCTAACCCACAGCACCACCAGGGCTCCTCATTATATGATTAAATTTATTTTGATATATGTAAATACAAGTTTGAAGAATAATCAGCATTAACAAAGGAAACTGGCATCATTCCACTGTCATATGATTTATAGAAAATCCTGGTGTCCTGGTGTGGCACTGTAGGATAAACACTGGACCACAAGGTTGGTGGTTCAAACTCACCAGACTCACCTTGGAAATCCTATACAGGGTTGCTTTGAGTCGGAACCGACTCAACAGCACTTAACAACATCAATGGCAAATCCTTACCATAAAGTTCAGCAAATCCATTCATAGGCACACGGGACGTGCCAGTGACAAACTGAAGTAATCTTATTCTTTTTTCTGAATCCATCATTAAAACAGCCTGAATAAGATGAAAATGACATTTAGACATTATCATTAGAAACAGGTAACAAAGTTATTCTGAGAAGTATGCTATTGGCATTCAGTTATAGATTAATAATCACTTATTGAATTTTTGTTTATGAGTGGTTTGCTTATTCCTTGGTAGAAACTTTGCTTCCAAAGCTGTATGGTAACTCTTTAGAATGGGATGATAGTATAATAACGTGCCCAAAATTCCTTTCCTGAATGTGACTCCTGGCTTTTAAAAATTGTATTTACTGATATTGAATGGCATGCAAATTTCTTTAGAAAATAGAAAATCACACTTAAAGGAGTCAGAGAATACATTCTTGGTTATAATTCCAAACTCTCTTCAGAGTTCTTCCTTTTTAGTATGGTCTCGTCTTGTCAATACCAGCTGTTCCGTGGGAGAAAGATGAGGCTTTCTGCTCCCATAAAGGTTTACAGCCTCGGAAACCCTGTACAGGGTCACCATGGGTCGGAATCGACTCGACAGCACTTACCAACAACAACAACATCTTGTCATCGCCATTTACTTCATTATATAAATGTGTATAGAGGATGGGGCTATAAACAATAAGTATTATATATCAGTATATGTTGTTGTTGTTGTGAAGTGCCATCGAGTCGGTTCCGACCCATAGTGAGCCTGTACAGGGTTTCCGAGGAGCAGTATATACAGTAGTACAAAATCAAAGGTAAGTTTCTCAGGGTGATATAATTTTCTATGTTATCTATACATAATCTATTAGTAAAGACAATCAAGAGCTAACTTTAAATTTGATTGAATCTATCAAAAATTTCTGAAAACAGAAACTTTTCATTACCTTCCAAAACCACTGTATGACTTGATGATTTACATTGTAGCCATTCTTATACTTGGTGTGTTCCTGCCAGTCATTCACATCTACATCTCCCAATCCACACATAAGAAGCTGCATAAATAAGAAATATCACACAGTAAATGCGGAAAACAATGGGTTCAAACTTTTATTTAAAATAAACATATTTCCTTACCTCTAGCTCATTTTCATCAAAAATTTTGATGAGATCTTGTGGTATCAGTTCAAAAAATCCCTGGTAGAAAAATGCATTAAAAAAACCCAGTTAGCACTGCCACACAGTTATGCAAGCTGGGGCTCCCATCAATCTTCTGTACCTTCACATATCAATCAGCAAGAATAACCATCCTGGTCCCCTTCCCACTGCAGTGAAGACATGCCAGACCCTGTGCTTTATCTGCTTCCTCAGAAGGTCATCTCACTAAACCACCTCCCTCAACTAGCTCACTTCTCATGCACTTCAATTTGTTCAGGTCATAGCCACCTTAAAAAGGAAATAAAGAAGCAAACACCCTGTATCATCTTCCCTTCACAGCCAAGGCTCCTGACAGTGATCTGCTCTTACAGAATCCATTTGTTCACCTTCCGTTTACCCCTCAACCCATTGCAATCTGCCTCTAGGCCTTTACTGCCTGAAACTGCTCAGGAGAAAGTCAAACACAGCTTTCAGCTAACTCTAATAAATACTTCCTGGTTCCATACCTTATCTGACATCTCTGCAATATGGTATTAATGGAAACACCTATGTTCTTGGAAACTTGGTCTTGAAACCTACCTTTCTCTCTTGGAGTTTCTCTTCCACCTTTGTCTGTCTTTGTAAATTTCCTTTGAAGTCTCTCTCTCTCTCTTTTTTTTCACTGCTCACTCCTTCAATGTTGCTGCTTCTAGGTCTCCATGTGTGGAGTTTTTTCATCTTATCTAGTCCACAGCTGCACTACATATGTGCACAGGGCTTCAAAGTTCATCCTGCCACCCTAGAACTCCATCCTTTGCATCACCCTCTGCTGCTGCTCTGCCTTCTAAACAATACCCCAATGCTCTGTTCCCACCACTACTGTCTTGGTAGCTGGCCCATGTCTTTTTGCCAAGCACGGCACCAGGTATATAGTCAGTTCCCAATATTTATACATAGGAAAGCATCTGATAAACATTTAAGTTTGCTTAAGAAATGAGTAACCTGAATATAGCCTAAGGCCTACCAACTGGGGACATTTAAGTAAATTAGAATCTGTATTGTAAAATGCAACCACAAAAAAGCAACTGTAGAATGGAGGGGCTTCAAAAACTTCATGGAAAAATTCCATTATCTTTTAATTACATTTTCCCACAAACTATCTAAAGCCAAGAAATATTTTCTATTGGAAAAACATACTATTCAGAGCACTCCTCTTCTTTTGTTCTCCTGAGTTTATTTAAAGTGAGGGGCAGTAACAGATGGGAATGGGGGTTGTCAGTGCTTATTGTATAACTATTTTAAATAATTGGATTCTAATAGTAAAAATAGTAAAAATCTACTTGTATAGTTTTAAAAAACTTAAAATAGAATTGAAATGTTACAATGTGGGGATTGAAATCAGTATCACAAAACAAAATGTGTCTGAATGGAAAACCAATTTGCTCTGTAAACTGTCATTCAGGTGACAATAAAAAATTTATATATATATATATACACACACATACATACATATATATATATTATTTTGTTTTTAAGAGTAGTTGTATCGATTCTGACTCATAGCGACCCTATATAGGGTTTCAGAGGCTATACATTTTTTGCAGGAGTGGAAAGCCTCATCTTTCTCCCGAGGAGCGGCTGGTAGGCTTGAGCTACCAACCATGTGTTTCACAGTTCAGTGGTTATTATACAGAGCCACTGTGTTCCCCATGTTACACTATATTTGTTGTTAAGTGTAGCTGAGTTGGTTCCAATTCATAGTAACCTTTTATAGGGTTTCCAAAGAGCTGCTGGTGGGTTTGAACTGCCAACCTTGCAGTTTCAATTTTATGTACATACAGTTTAAAATGGTCTCAGAAAGCCATATATGAATTTTTCTCAGTCTTATCAAATATTGATAAGTCCCAATATTTGAAAATTATGGCAAGTACTTTGCAATTATAGAAGCGCAAATGAAAGAAAATGAGTACCTCTTTGAAAGCAGCCATTTGCTTCTGAATTCGGTTTACAAATCGCCATTGTATTACAAGACTAAAAGGAAACAAAACATTTCATTCTTTTTCACAGTAACCAAGCATAAGGTGTAGGGTATGCTAATTTCAATTAGAGACAGAAATGAAAGACTAGCTAAGCACAAGACAAAACCAGTATGAGCAGGTAATACTGCTCTGTTAACAGAAAAGAAAAAAAAAAATCAGAGTTTGGCTATGGGAGAAGAGGGAAAGGGTCAGAAGAATCTTCCCTGGAAGAAATACAAAATTTATTTACAAAATATAGTAAAATGTTTACTAAATAGTTAAATACTTAGTAACAAAATACTTACTAAATATATTCCCTTTTATTCTTATTGTTGACAACTATTTCTGATCCTCCACTTTTCAACTCATGTTGATGTGTCTAAAATTAAACATGATTATTTTGATATTGTTACTTTAGTGGAAAAAAAATACAATATACATTTTATAGTTATATCAGAGACCTGGTGTTTTAAATTACATTCATTCTAATTTAAAAGCAAAGCACCTTTACATAATTAAATTTTAAACTATTAAAAACTAATGAGTCAAATGTCAAAGGAGGCACAAATTCTTGTTAAGGGACAACTTTTGTTACTGGAAAGGAAATGTAAGAAAGAACACAGAAATGTGCTATCTGCATTATTTAATATCGACACTGAAGTTGTACATTTATTCTACAATTTGTATCATTTGATCAATTTTACAAACCTGTCCAAAAAGTTCTTCATCGATGATAAACCGGAGGTCCAGTTCTGTTGGGTCATTTTCAAGAATCCATCTTAGTGAATTATAATATTCACTATCCTAGGTGGAAAAGATTATATGTACAAAATATAAATATGCAAAGACACCTGAACTTGCAAAAAGGGTTTGAATACATGAACAGATGATGAAAGAGTCACTTGTATATATTCTCATTCCAAGAGTTGGAACACTGGTAACTGAAAGATGTTGTTAAGTGTTATCGAGTCCGTTCTGACTCACAGAGATCCTGTATAGGGTTTCCGAGGAGCAGCTGGTGATTTGAATCACTGACCTTGCAGTCCAGTGTATTAACCCATAGTTTATGCCTCCTTATCTTACAGGACTCCTAAATGTAAGATAAGGAGGCATAAATCAATAATGTTGTTGTTAAGTGCTGTTGAGTTGGTTGTGACTCACAGTGACCCTGTATTAGGTTTCTAAGGAGTGGCTGGTGGTGGGTTTAAATCACAAACCTTGCTGTTAGCTATGGTTAAGCAATCCAGTGCTTATCCTATAGCACCACACTAGGACTCAATAGCTTAAAAGTTTAGACATGTCTCTGTGGAGGTGTAGCCTTTATGACCCAATTAAAGAGCTAAATCAAGCAGTTTTCAGGTAAGCTATAGTTCCTTGGATATCCAGAAACACCTGGCACCTTTCTAATGTGGTTATGAGACCAATGTGCTTGAAATGCATAAATAGCCAGAGGGAATTATTATATATACCTGTCCCAATATAAAGCAGAATCTCAAATTAAATACAGAGCTTCAATTAAATCATTCAAATAGCTGTGCAATCTTATGATTGTAAAGAATTACACTGTTTACACTCATAATGTATAACGAGAAAGGAATAAAGGGTGTACTTGACCCCAAAGGAAAGGTCTTGAAGTCCATGTATATACTTCTGTATGAGGTTATTCAGCATAGGCTATAAGAAGGTTATTTTAGGGATTGCTCCTTGGGTTTCTATTTCTTTGTAGTGCTCTAACCTCATGTCCTTGCCTTTAGACTGGCGCTTATGAAAGCACACACCATTTGTCATAAAAGATCACAATTCAAGCAACGTGTAAGAGAAAACAAAACAACAGAAAAAGTTGAAGTATTTACGAGGGCGTTGATAGTACAGTGGTTAAAACACTGTTAATAGAAAGGTTGGTGGTTTAAACCCACCAGCCACTCCAAGGGAGAAGGATATGGCAGCCTGCTTCCATAAAGATTTACAGCCTTGGAAACCCTATGGGGCAGTTCTGCTCTGTCCTACAGTCTTGTTATGAATTGCAATCACCTCAGCAGCAGTGGGTTGGGCTTGTTTTTTGGTTGCTTACATATGCAACTCACTTTGAAATGCATCAAAAATAGAACAGATTCATGAAGAAATGAACAGATACATGATAGGACCAGTACAGAAAAATGCTAATTGAGGAATCAAGGTGTTCACTGTAAAATTAATGCAACTTTGGCAGAAAGTGTCATTAAATGTTGAGGGAAGTACTCGTTTGCATTTTGGAACACTGATATATTAACCTCTCTATCACTGAAAACTAATCCTTCAAAATCCTGAGCTTCCTGTTAAATTATGCTTCTTTAAATGATACGAGAGACAGACATACCACCGATTCCATGTCATGAAGTGTTATTGGTTTCTGTAGCATCATCTTGTAAAATGGCCGGATGAAAAAACCTTGTAAGAAAAACAAACAAGTATATTTAGAATGAATATTAAGTGAAAATAAACATGTAATTTAATTATACATTCTTAACAAGGTTTATGCTTTTTCAAGGTTTATACTGACCATCCAACAGTTTGCCATGATACACTGCCATTCCAGCTACCCGTCCTATAAACTTGAAATAAGAGAGGTGATCTTCATTACACAATCCAGAGTTGGGGTTTATCTGTAGGGTGTAATTATCCCTGCAAAGGAAACCATATTTAAATATTCTTCTCTATATTTCATGGTAAAAATTTTAATATGACAAAAAATTTAAAGTGATCTCCCTCTTTTTAGAATTGTCTACTTGTACTAGAATCACTGCTGCTGTTATTGTTGGGTACCATCAAGTCGATTATGACTCAATGAAACCCCATGTGACAGAGATGCCCATGGGTTTTCTTGGCTGTTGTCCTATGGAAGGTTTTTCTCCTGTAGAGCTGCTACATTGTTCAAACTGGCAACCTTTCAGGGAGCCGTTAACCGTTAAGTGCTTAACCTCGTTTGCAGCTGAGTGCTCCAGGGCTCTTTAGAACCACACTGTTGTTTTCATGGAGTGCCATCGAGTAGGTTCCAACTCATAGTGACCTTGTACAGAGTTTCCGGGCAGCAGCTGGTGGGTTTGAACTGCCGACCTTGTGGTTCAAACTGACCTTACAGTCCAGTGCTTAGCCTACACAGCGCAGCACCAGAACTCCAGAACTACATCACATCACTGGACAGAACCGTTTTAAAAACAGTAATTTCTGAAACAACCTTAGAGTGTAATCTCCCTTTTCTGGAATATAATAATATAAATTTTCTTTGTAGTATGCAATTCTGTTACTTTCAAAACAATAAAGATTGTTTTCCATATACAGTTATTGTAAAGATACTTACGTAGCGGAATATTCAAACAACCCATAATAAGGGTTAAACATTTCCTTTGAAATAAGGAAGAACCATTCTCTGGCGACTCCTCCATAATCTAATCCCTTTTCACCATCAAACTCAATCCATAGTCTAGCCTTGAGGAAGTCTGCTCTCTTGACAGCCACAATTCTCCTGTATGAATCCTCAAGAACAGTTGCCCGGCGAAGTTTCATTTCAAATTTGTTTGGAATGTCAGTCTGAAAACCCAGAAAAAAAGACATGTAGCTTTATTCATTTCAGAATGATGATATATTTATCTTTCATGAAAATTATGAAATTCATCATACTGTACCCTGTGCCCCTTTTTTCTTTAAGTACTTGAAGAAAGCATAATAAATTATATTGTCTTAAATGTTTTCTCTCTGGTTTGAAAGAATTCAATTATTTTTGCTAATCCCTTAGTATAGATTTAGGATGTCTCTCTGAAGAAGCTCTTGATGACAATGACAATGCCCATGTTAAGTCACTTCAGGAACAGTCCTTTCCTCATTAGTTTCCAATAAGACCATTCCGGGACCTATAGTTTAGCCATTGGCTGTTTTTGTCAGGGTTTTTCCTTATCTACGCATTTACTATTTCTTGAAGTCTATCCTATTTCACTCATTAATAAGGGCTAACATTTACAGTGCCAGGACCTGTTTCAAGCATTTTAAATGGATTAACCCATTTATTCATTATAGCAACATATTACTACTGCCCTCATCTTATGGAGGAAGGAACTGAAGAGACAGAGTTAACTTAAGTTTTAACTCCTGCATCTCTGCTCTTAATTAAGTAGTATTGCCTTAGCAATCTTTACACTTCCTTTGCTTATGTGACAAATGTTAATAACTATGGCTTTGGGCACATCTTATTGTTATTTTATAAAATGCATCCAAACATTTTATTCCAGAGTCGTCTTTTGTGTTTAAATTTTAAGAGGAAAGCAATAAGACAAAACATGCCATCAACATTGTCACTTGGAAAAAAAAAAAATTTACTCTTCATAATGCTCAGGAAAACAGTGCAAATCATTATAGAAAGAGATAAGTGGTGTTCTTTTTAGCTTTGGGGGAAAAAAAAGTCAACACTGGAGAAAACTGATTTTAGATAAATTGCTCAATAAACATTTTTCTGGACTAGACCCCATGCTAGGTAGGTGGCACAATGGGTAAAAAGGATGGGGAAAAAAAGGAGGATGGAAACATTATATAAGACATGGTTTCTTCCTCAAGGAACACATCATCTGGTGTGCACATGAGCACAAAGTGTAAATGTGACTAATTCTGAGATTTAAAAGAGTAGAACTTCTGCTTAGAACAGACACATAAGTAGGGATCTATGGGGGCATAAAATACCTAGATAGTAACTGCAAGTGAGGCAGTCAAAAAGGTTTCTGGGTAGAAGTGTTTGGGGAAGAGAAGGAAGGACTTAAGAACCACAGGCTAAGAGAACAGCAAGTACAGCAGTGTGATAGATTTAGGAGCTTGAGGGAATGGTATGGCACTGTAGGATCAGCACTGAACTGCTAACCCCCAGACTAGCAGTTCATACCCACCAGTTGCTCTTTGGAAACCCTATACAGGGTCACTATGAGTCGGAACCAACTCAAGAGCACATAACAATAACAGAGGGTGTTGTTGTTTAGTGCTACTAAGTTGGTAGCTATACAGTATAGAACAACAACAAAAAATCCAAAAAAACAACAAACTCACTGCCATCGAGTCAATTCTGACTCATAAAGACCCTAAATAGGGTTTCTGAGGCTGTAAATCTTTTCTGTTGTTGTTTTTGTTTTGTTTTCCCATAAAGATTTTTGTTGTTAAGTTTTTATTGTGAATTATGTGATAGTTTACATGGGAGAACATTATCTTTACATTCATTCTGTTGTATTTCACTTCATTGCAATGATTACAATCCCCTGCATGCATCATCAAACAACCAAAGGGTACACCCTGCAAGCCTGCCCCCCAGCCGCCAGCACACAGCCCCTCTCTCTCCCTGAGTCTAGAGTCCCCAGCCACTCCTTCTCTCCATGTCATCGTCTCTGCCTCCATCTCTGGCTGTTACTTATTCTCTGGATAGGGTCCCACACTTCGTTTTTCTCCCTTGATGATTTCAGGGACCTCTGCTCCTGGACTGCAAAATCAACCACTCTCCTCCTTTTGTTACAAAACGTCTACCTTTACCTTTCCAACACTCACAGTCAGTCCTGATAGCAATCATTTACTATTGAACCACAAGAGTCTTATCCCCATCACCTTTCATCAGCCCCATCCAGACAGGCTGGAAACCACTCAGTGGAGATTCTACCTTTTCCCGTACCCTCTGGAACTGGGTTCCTTATTGAAAGGCTGTAAGCCAGTCACTTCTTGCCTTTGTAGCCACCCCCATTTTGGGTAGCCAACTCCTAAGTTGCCCATCCTTGTCGACCCTGTGTACCAAGGGGGTAGGAATGATCCTCACTGTAAAGATTTGTTGCCTCCTTTACCCTACTGCATCCATAAGCATAGGTCAAGTTCATCATTACACTTTTCTCCCCCTCTTCTTTCTTCCTCTAGTCGAGTTCTGATTATCCAACCATTGAAGCCAGGTCAAGTGGGTACTATCTGCAAGTGTGGGTGTTCTTGTGCATCTCCCCTCACTTCATATCAGTTGGATGCTTCACACTCCACGCTCTAGTCCTCTGTGGCCATGTCCCGGTTTCTGGGTCCAGGAGTCCCCAGGTCTCGTCATACTGCTGGCCAACCAGGTCTCAATTTAGATTAACAGGAGTCTATTGATTGTGGTTGGACTTATGCTGTTTTTCCCCTTATCGGTGACCAACGTGGTCAGCAGCCCGAGGCTGTAAATCTTTGAGAGTAGACAGCTTTCTCCCAAGGAGCTGCTCATGGGTAAGACCTGTCAACCTTATAATTAAGAGTCCAATACCTAGCCCACAGCTCCACCAGGGCTCCTCAGAGTGTATAGACAGAGGAGGGGGAAGAAAAGGGAAGGAATTCTAGTGAAAAGAAGGTTGGGAAGTAGCCTGGGATTAGACCGAATGACAGACTGGAAAGAAGAGAGTTTCTGAGCCGAAGAGCAACATGATGAGCTTAGGACATTTTCAGAAGCTGATAGGGTAGAAGTATAGAGTGGTTTTACAGAGGAATTGTAAGAGACGTACAGGAAGGGAGTGAAGCTAATGGAAGAAAGAGACGGTGGCTAGGGAGAAACCATGGTTGGAACTCAGTAATGACAAGGGCATGGATTCTGGAGTCAGGAGGCCTTTTGTTCAAACCTAATGCCACCATTTATTAGGTGAGCAAGGTACATGTTTTTTTTCTATTTAATCATCTAAAATAACTCACATAAGTGTTAAAAATTCTTACCCTCTAAGAGTTTTCTCAAGATTTAATGAAATAATGCATTTAAAGCACATACATGGCATATGACACATGGTGAGCTCAATAATTATTAGCAATCATCATGCCTAACAAGTAAGATGCTGAAGATGAGGGAAGGGAAAAGGTTAAAGAAGCATATGGATGCTAACCAAAAAGTTGGAGGTTTGAGGCCACCAAAGAGGTTCCTCTGAGGAGAGGCATGCTTTAGACAAGGTCACTGAAAACTCTATGGAGCACAATTCTACTCTGATACACAGAGTCACCAAGAGTTGGAATTGATTCAACGGCAACTGTATATGTCTAGATATGGACTTTCTCTTCAATCATATTTGGGATTGTGTTTGTTAATGTGAAGGTTCATATTTTGTAGTAGTTTGGCGAAATTTGCAGCCTTTTCCCCATGTTCTTGGTTCTCTCCTTCTGGAACAACTCCATGCCTCTTCATCTTTCTTTCCTATTTTCATCTCTTTATTATATTTGGGTCATTTCTATATTAATTTTCTCTATTAATTATCATAAGCCATGTTGGTTAAGAGTTTAGACTCTGGAGCTATATCACCCACTTCATTTGAATTTTGCCACTTAACCTCTGTGCCTTAGCTATTACCTCGTCTGTAAATTGTAGTAATAACATAATCTTCTTTTTAAGGTTGTCGTAGAGACTAAATGAACAGTACATGTAACTTGCTAAGAAAAATGGCTTATATGTAGTAACAGCTCGATAAATATAATTATTGTTTTCATTATGGCTTTTTGGTGACCTGTTTTATAAACAGTTTTGTCCCATAATTTCTGTTGCCTAGAGAACATCAATAATTAGACATTATAACATGCTTACAAATTTTATGACTGTCAAATAGAAAATTTAGTACTTCTTCTCCACTAGCATTGTTTCACTAATAATTTTTACCAGAAAAATAATTCAACAAAGATGTAAAATTCTAAAGCCTAGGATAAGAGAACATTTCCAGAGCAATTTTGGCATAGAGTTATTATTTAAGATGATTTTTAAAAGTTGTGACAGTTTTGTGACAGTTTTTTAGTGTTCTCATAGAATTCTAAAATACCTTATTTCATGTTTGTTAAAATTTAGGATGAAAAAAATCCATTGACTCCGCAAAGAAAAATCTGGTGATCTACTCCTGTAAAGATTACAGCTTAGAGCACCTTTAGGGCAGTTCCAGTCTGTTACTTAAGGTCATAGGAGTAGAAATCGACTCAATGGCACCTAGCAACAACAGGGAGAAAACTTTCTGGCAGTCAACCCACCATCTTGATTCTCTGTAAAACCAGGCTTCCGGCTTAAACACAAGAAAGTGTAACCCAATATAGCCACCTAGTGGTAATCTTCCTAGACTACAGGGAAAGGCATTTAAAAATGATCCTCACCATTTTTGGTAAATGGAATAGACGGGCAGATGATGAGTTTAGTTCCAAGCATACAGAATTTGTATTGATGGAAAGAAGTATAGGAAAATACATGTTAAACAAATGGAGACAAGTAACAGGAGCACTGCTCTAATCAAAACTGTATTTTAAAATTATACAAAGATATGTTAAATGTGGACTCCTGATGTGGTGCTATAGGATAAGCACTGGACTGGTAATCTCAAGGTTGGTGGTTTAACCCCACCAGCTGCTCCTTGGAAATCCTACACCGGGTTGCTATGAGTTGGAATCAACTTGATGGTACTTAACAACAAGAAGAATGTCCTATGAAATTTTAGAGGATAAACGACTACCCCTGAAAAATAATAAAGTAAAAAAGGAATCCAGAGTGGCTAGAAGATAATCTCTTAAACTATTCTTGCCCAGTTCTAAAAAACCCAAATCCCATAAATCCCAATAGGAAACACCAAGTTAAAATGCTTTAAAATCCACTTTTAATACTATTTCTCTGTATCTTGAGGAAAGACAAAATAATTAGGGTCTTTTATTGATGTATAGTAAGTATTTGAAAAAATACTTCTTCTATAGGAAACGATTCACTCAAAGCTGTTACAAATATAGAATGTAATTTTTATTACTTTAAAAAATGCATTCCCTAGTATATTTAGCCTATTTAATGAACATTCCCAAATATTTTCTATAAATATCACTAACCTGCTTCTTCAACTTTCTGCGGAAGAACTCATATTTTCGTTTGTAATCCCTGGAGTAGGGCACTGCCTTAAATTGAAAATTTCGGAAAAATAAAAAAGGTTTAGGTTGTTTCATTCTGGATGGGACAATTTTAAAAGTTCCCCTTTGGGTATTTTATGAACATAAGTTAAAGGCATTAAAATACAGTATTTGGAAAGAAAAGTTTCAAACTGAAGAAAACCAAACATAAAACTTAAAAATTTTTGGTTGCTCTGTTTAAGATAAAATTGTATTCCGGAATTCCTATGGCTGCAATTTTAATCATGCAATATTCTTGAAATGCATCGTGCCAGAAGCAGGAAATGTCTTCCCAGTTGAGAAATATTAGAAATGAAAATTTCCATTTCTAGAGAGACTTTCAAAGTGATTTCTCCATTAAAGGACCAATCTTAAAAATGAGTAAAAATCTTAAAAAAAAAAAAAGCAACTCTGAGTAGTTGCTTTTTACATCCATTATTTGAAGATATTTCAAGGTACTAAATAGTTAATTCAAGAACGAAAGCGTTCACTAGAAACAAACAAACAAACAATAGTTAATTTTACTTATTTTTCTGAAATAGAAACTAAAAAACTATGGGAAAGTAGCTATACTAGTATTGTAAGTAAGATAAGTACTTGACCGCAAGGTTGGTTTGAACCATAAGGTCGGTGGTTCAAACTCACCAGATGTTCCTGGAAACCCTATACAGGGTCACTGTGGGTCAGAACTGACTGACGGCACTTAACAACACCAACTGTCTCTTTTAATTGTGCTAACCACAAAGTTGGTGGTTCAAACCCACCAACCACTCCATGAAAACCCTATACAGAGTCACTATGAGTCATAACCAACTAGATGGAATTTAACAACAGCAATATTATTATACATATACATCACAATATTTATATGAACTGTGTAAGTATTGGTATGTCTTATATATCATATGTAATAATTTACAATTGAGACAACCAAAATGTTCTAGATCTGCCTCCTAAGACAGAGAACTATGTGCTTCTTTACCCTGGTACACTCTTAGTTCTCTGATCTGTTCAGGATTGCCAATATTCTCTTACAGATAATACCAAGCACTGGCCTGATTGCAGAAGCTCAGCAGTAGCTTTTTCACTGTCTGGTTCACCAGTCTCCCTAGGCTATTACATAGGGTGAAGAGAACAACTTTAGTTGACATAATCTTTCCAAATAACCAACTCTTGGATTGAGGTCAGTAGGGAGAGGAAAGAACCACAAATTTGACCAATCACCCTTAAAGAGAGAGTGATGGATGAGAAACACCCTGTAAGAGCACAATGAAATACAGAAACTTACTGGTCCAGTTATTGCTACATTCTGCAACCGAGGATCTTCCCATTGTGTTCTCTTTATATCTGAAGGGAAAAAAATAAGATGGGCTTCCTTTTTAAGCATAAAATTCAAATTTACAAAGAATTAATGTAATTAAAAATCTCCTTGCACATACTGTGATTTATGTAGAAGATTCTTCCGTCTGTGTGAGTTCTCTCTTCCCATCCTGGCTATAATGAAAAATGCATTTTCATTATTTTGGACAAGGGGTTTTAAATGTTTGAGTAGAAAACAGAAATGATTTTACAGTTAATTTACTGATTATATTCATGGAGTCCTGGTGCAGTGCCTTGCAGGATAAGCAAGGGACTATGCAACACAAGGTTAGTGGTTAAGGTTAGTGGTTCAAACTCACCACCATTCCTTAGAAACCCCTTACAGGGTCGCTATAAGTCAGAACCGACTTGATGGCAGTAAACAACAATTTTACTTATAGTAGACGGCACCAACATTTAAATGATATTGATTATAGTTGTTAAAGAACTGCTTTGTTTCTCAATACATAATGTTTTAGATAGCCAAGTTATATTGGTGGGTTTATAAACTTACAGGTAAAGGCCCTAGATCATTGGAAGGTTCAAGCGATGGCTTGCCTCGCAGATGAGCTGGAATTTTCAATCTTGGATCTTCCTTTATTGGTTGAGTAAATAAAACAGTACACACACACACAAAAAAAAAGTTTTAAAATAATGAAAATCAATCTAATTGTTACCATGTTTGTTTTTTAATCAATGGATATTTACAATATTCTCTTTTAAAAGGCCATCTATACATTTCATGTATGTTATCTGTGAAAAAACCACTCGCCCGCCATTCTAAAATCCACCAGTCTCAGGCTAAATGAATTGAAACAAACAATGAGGATCATTTCTCAGAGTGGGATCAGTATTAATTCATCGCTTCTTACACAAGGACAATTCATAGCATTTTGTTCTACTCTTAAGGGATTGTTGTGTCACTTTAAAAGGCTTTGCTCTAAATAAAGATTGGAGAAGAGCAGAACCTTAATTGAACCATATGTTATTTCTGAGCTCCTGAACATGCCTATTTGGTGCATATTCTGTTAAGGTGTTGAGTAATCTGAGAGGGCTTCAGAAAGCTTGTGGGAAAGTGGAATTAAAAGATGGTGGAATTTTTCCACAAACTTTGAAACCTTTTCATATATCAAAGGTAGGAAGGTAAGCTCAGAATGGTTATTAAATCAATTCAGAGTGGTAACAAAGAAGGCAATTTAATTTATTCACAAGACTGATTTATGTGTGTTATTCAACTTATTTCAATACTCTTAAATTATACTTCAAATTATTTTCATTTAAGATATTGGTATTTTTAATAATCACTTAACGAATCTTCAATTAAAATCTGCTGCTGATTTTGAATAATTTTTCTGCTGGTAGAAAACCAGTGAGCCAAGTACTAAACAACGTTAAGCCTTATATGAAAATAATATATCCTCAACAGGACTATTTTTATATGAAATATGAATTTTGCAGAATTATTGTTGATATTAAATGAGATATGAATTCAAAAGTACTTTGGAAACTATGAAGCCTCAAATAAATGTACGTCTATTTTTCTAAGGATTTAAGGCTAGTGAGCTAGAAACTGGAAGTAGAAGCTCTATGTATCTCAACAATCCAGAATACTATTAAAAACAGACACAAACAGCTTGAACAGAAATATTAAGAATTCAATCATAAATAAGCACTAGAAAACATAGGTTATATTCAAGTACAGATTTTAAAGATTTCCACATTAGAAATGATGATGTTTATAAATGTAAATGAAGATTATCAAAGTTACCCAGGTGGTGGTTTTGGTGTTATGGTCAATGAAGAAAGGTCTCCCATTTGGTGCATGCCGGACTTCCCAGCCCTTAGGAAGGAATCTGAGCTCAATTTCAGAAGGTTGGGTCACCTGCTGTGCTGAATCAATGGGAGGGACCTGTGGTTGAGGGCTTGATGGCAGCTGACTGGTCTCCATCATGGTCTAGGATAGTAATTAAATAATGTTGCAGTGGAACTCACACATAACTGTGGTTAAAAAGACCACAACCTACAAACAGAGTACGGACTTAACAGGGCTATAAATATTTGAGGCTCATTTGTGAGTACAGCGATGACATAGCACTGATTTGCCCCCCATTGTTTTTCTAATCTATTGGCTCATTTTTCTAATAATATGTTTTGTTGAATTTTGTATTGATGATAATTTATAATATTCAGCTAATTCTCAAGTCAGAGTCTGAATAAGGGTGCTAGATCAATGAGTCCATGCCTTACCTGAAAGGGAAGTGCCTATAGGAGAAGGTTGTCCAGACTTAGAAAGTGGGGAATTCCCTATACATACAAGTGGGCTCAAATCCGGGGCACACAAAATGAATGACAAATACCCACTACAGAAATGGTAAATGAAATGTAGTATATTCACATGATAGATTATTAGTGTTAAAAGGAATAAACTTGACCTAAATATAGAAACATGGATAGGGTTTCAAAACAATATTGAGCACAAAAAGGTGCTAACAGATACAGCATAACATCTATGCAAATTTAACAATACTATCAGACATAAACAATATTAGATTACATATTAAGATCTCTGTTAAGCTCTCTATATAAAATAGGCTGAAAGAATATAAAATGAACTCAAAATGGTGGTCACAGGGCCAAGAGCTTAGCTACATAAATTCTACCTTTATCTGTATTACAATATTTTAAATATAAAAATCTAGAAACAAATACAAGGAGCTCTGGTATCATAGTAGTTACCAGTCGGGCTGTTAACCTCAAGGTCAGCAGTTCGAAACCAGCAGCTGTTCTAAGGGAGAAAGATGAGATTTTCTGCTCCCTTAAAGATTTACAGCCTTGGAAATCCTATACCGCGTCACTATGAGTGGAAACTGACACCACAGCACACTACCACCACCACTGCCAGCAGCAAATATGGTATATTGTAAAAGACGGTTACTACTGGGTATTAAGAATACAGATATTTAGTATTTCATTCTTAGTGCTTCTCAGTGTTAAAAAAAATTTCTCAAAAATAGAAATGGTAATTAGGTAAGTATTTTGCTAAATATTTACAAGGAAATACTATAAAAGGTAGTCAGTGGTGCCAAGGACAATATGTCATTACAATTTTTTTCTTTTTGAAAATGGGACGCATTTTAAACAATCTACAGAAATAGATACACAGAAATATGTAATCACACAGACAAGACAGAATCCCATCAACTTCAGTAAAATACTTGAAAACATAGAACGACAGCTACAGCTGAGAATTTGGTTATGAGATTATAGAAATGCAAACAAATGTAAAACACATTTGGCCAGGTTGTGATTGGAACTGGATGTCCCTAGCCCAATGAAGATTTTTTCTCCTATTAGAGGATTATTTCTTACATTCTCAGAACTGCTTTATGACAGTTTCTAATTTTTGGTAAGGACAAAGAGATTGGGATTGTCTACGTTTGACCTTAATTATCCAATATTGTTTAGTGTTCCTGGCTATAGCCAAATGGACTAGGACCCAGAAAATTTATACAGTTCAGAGAACAAAGGAAGAAAAAAACCTAAGCATAGGAAAAACTCATGTGTGTGTATTGTTTGTCACACAGATTGATAAACTTCTTATATACTGGAATTGCAAATAATAAAGTTAAGGCTTTGGCTTTTTCCCTCCACCAAGATTATCTTTTAGCAAAATAATAAACATAATAATTCAAATGATAAAATAACCCAATGGACTAGATCATTGACTCCGTCCTCCTATTCCCACCTGGGCTTGTTTATAACAAGGGATAATTCATGTATATTATAGATTCACAGAAAGTAGGAGAAACGAAGCCCCAGTCAGAGAATAACTAGAAGAGAATAAAACAACTAGAAACATCCAGTGTGTACTACAAAACTGATATAGGAGCTTCCATAGGAATTTGAAGGTATAAATCCTGTAAGAAAACAATGGAGGGATTGCAGATACCTGCACAGTGGGCTTTGTCCAGGTAGTAGTTCTGGAATTGTGATCTACATAATATGACCTTCCTCTTTCATCTTGTTTTTCTTCCCAACCTGGTGGTAATCCAGATGAAGTAGGTAAAAGCTACAGTGAAGAATAATGTTAAGTGCTGTTAAGTCAGTTGCAATTCATTGTGAGGAGGATTAAAAGTAAGGAAAAGGCTTTTAAAAAAGGACCACATTCCTTCTTTGCTGCTAGTTCTCTTTAAAATAAACCATATTTAAATCATACTTTAAAGTGTATGGAATGAAGTACACAGTATTTGACTTACAACAAAATTAAACTAAAACCCCAGCAGAACAGATGAGAATGATAAAAACAAAACACGTCCACTACCACACACTAAGTGTGTTAATATAGGTTAATGACATTTAAACCCAACATGAATCTTAATAAAATAATTGCTATTATTGTCCTATTTTATTAATGAGGAAATGGATACTTAGAAAACTGAAGGAATTTGCCAACAACTACATTGCTAGTAAGAATGGAGCTGAAATCTGAACCCAAGTGGTCTAGTGTTTAAGAAATTACCACACAAATGCGTAGAATCAAAAGTTAACCCTACCTGGGTCCTCTAAAAGATAGGGAGATGATATTTATTAAATTGCATTGCAAATAAATATGTAGTTATTTACACAAGACTCCTAGTGTAGCATTGTAGGATCAACACTGGACTTTGAACCACATGGTCAGTAGTTCAAACCCACCAACTGCTCTTAAGACACCATATACAAGGTCGCTCTGAGTTGGAATTGACTCACTGTCACTTAACAGTTATTTACAGGTTTAGTTAAATTGACCCTTTAATTGTCCCTGAATCACTGTGAACCAGATTAGGTTCTTCAAGGTTTAGCTCCAAAAAGCACCTTGTTGTTAAATGCCCATGAGTTGCTTGTGCCTCATAGTGATCCTATTTAGGGTTTTCATGGAGCAGCTGGTGGGTTTGAACTGCTGACCTTATGGTTTGCAACCCAGTGATGATCCTACAGTGCCATACTATGAGTCCCAGAGCACCTTACAACACACAAATCACCACCAGTCTATTCATTAGATGTACTGTTTATTAGGTACACACAAGGTGTATGCACTTTGTTAATAGTTACGAATGGTGAGTGTCTAAAATGATGAACTTTAAAACTTGTCCAGTTTTACAAAAGTCCATCAGCTGATAAAGAGATAAATGAAGGCAGTAGGTACACCTATACAATGGAGTGCCACAAACAGACAGGCAACAACCTGGGTAAATCTCAGAAACATGCTAAGTGAGTAAGTCACACACTATGAGTACATACTGTATAATTCCATTTATATGAAATTTCTAGAACAGAGAAGATTGGAGTAACAGAATATAGATGAGCTGCATGCCTGGGGCTGAGAATGGGAGCAGGGATTGACTACAAAGGGAACAGGGGAACTTTTGGGGGTGGTAGAAGGATTCCTAAACTTGTTGGTGGTGATGATTACATAACTTAATGAATTTACTAATACTCACTGAATTGTACGCTTAACAATGGGTGAATTTATAGTAGGTAAACAATAACTTCAACAAAGCTATAAAAAAAAGCCAATGTATTAAAAACAAGAGTCAACAGACTGAGAAATAAAGGAATGGAAGTCGTTTTTTTATTTTTAATTCCATAAAGTATAAATTATCTCTACATTTTGGTCCTCATCTGGTACATTTAAAATTTTTTCTTGGATCAATGCCTGTCAATTGGACATTAACATGTATTGGGCCCATTATAAGGAGCAGTGGGAGAAATAAAATGATTTCTGCTTATGCAGGTTCCAATCTAATGGATTACGTCAGACAAATGATAATAGGTAAAAGTAAGGGTGGTGAGACCAGTCTTTTGGGGGCATCTACCCATGTGGTAGTGTAGTGGTTACGAATCGGGCTGGGAACCTTACGGTCAGTAGTTTGAAACTACCAGCAGTTCTGCGGGAGAAAGATGAGGCTTTCTGCTCCTGTAAAGATTTACAGCCTGTACAGGGTCGCTATGAGTCAGAATCGACTCCACGGCACATAACAACAACCACCATCCATGTGTTGATAGACAATATTGATTAGGCCAAATGATGTACAGGTGGGTATCCTCTTCCCCCCTCAAGATACAAGGCCATCTTCCTAGACTACTTCTCTTGAGCTACTTTAGGGTTAAGGATTTTTAAGCCTCTCTTCTCTTATGTTGGAACTTCCATTAAGACAAAAACCTAACTCACTTTAAAAAAATTAATACATATACTGCCACTTGAAATTATGAATGGTGGTGGTGTTTGTGTGCCATGGAGTTAGTTATGACTCATATTGACCCTGAATAGGGTTTCTGAGGCTAAAAATCTTTACAGGAGCAGAAAGCTTCATCTTTCTCTTACAGAGTGGCTGGTAACTTCAAACTGTTGAACTTACGGTTAGCAGCCCAACTCTTAACCCAATATGTTACCAGGACTCCTTGAAATTATGACTAGTTGGTGAAAAAGTGAGAAGGCCATTCGCAGTGGGGAAATGGAATGTTCACGTATGCATAAATGGTAGAACATTATGCATGTTCCAAACAGGAGCAGCTTGTTTGGAAGACAAGACACAGACAGAAATGAAGGCAATGGGAAGCTTCTTGTGCTGGAAATCTAGCCTTTTATTATTATTTGGTTTAAAAAACAAGTGTGGGTGGCATAGAAGGGAGTGACAAGCTCAAAGTCAAAGGAGTTGAGGCAAAAAGAGGCTGGAGACCAAAATGAGGTCTAGGACATCCACTCTAGACATGAAGTATTAAAGTCTAAGTTCTAATGAAAGCTGTACTGAGAACAGCACTGGGGAGGAAGGAGAAGGCCTTAGTAGACTTACAGATGTTAGAATAAAGGGAAGAGAGAAACTGGGACTGACACTTGGTCACCTGACTACTGTGTCTGCTGACACCAGGGCACACCTGACTGGGATGTTTCACGTATGGAACAGAAGTGGTTGCTAGATGCCCTGAACAAAGCTAGGTGATGTGTACAAAAGAGACACAGATACCATTGTCCCAAACTGTATACAGCAGATCACCTCCAGCAAGCAGACTTCCTTAATAGAGGAGAGACGGTTCTTCGTGTTTTGTGTGTTTAAAGGTCTCACCCCACCACAATCTCATATGCCAGAACCTAGAGTCTATGCTAAGTTATGTTCCCTGCAGGGCTGCCAACTTTCCTACAGTGCTTTAAAAAAAAAAAAAAGTTCCATATTTTTCTTAATATTTGAGAGGAGAGGATAACTCACCACAGGAAGTGTAGGCTGTTCCTCAAAAGTATAGGCTTGTAAGCTGCCTCTCCTGGTGGAATGATTCTAGTGAAAAGCAAACACAAATGATACTAATTTTAGATATGATTTGTGTTACGGTGGCAAATAATATAGTGGGGTGAGTATGATGAGGCAAAAGAAAGGAAGCTGGCTACGAACTCTGAGAGACCCTGCATGTGAAAGCACTCAGCCACTCTCAAGACCACCCATGCGCTGATGTCTCCCAACTTCAAACTCATGCTTCTCTCCTCAAGTAACAGACTGATCCCTGGACACTTTCTCTTGAATGGCTAACTACCCTCTCAATGTGTCCAAAACTGGATCCAATCTCCCCCATCACATCCATTCACCTTCTCCCGTATTCCTCCTTTCAAGTGGCAGCACATGTACCAGCAGCTGCCCAAATATGCTATCAGGAAGTCACCCAAGTCTTCTCTCCCTCCTGTCCCTGCCACCCAGTCAATCACCATTCTGTTTCTTTGTGATAATTTTCTTGTTGGTGCCATCAAATCGGTTCCAACTCAGAGAGACCCTGTTCACAACAGAAAAAAATACCGCCCGGTCCAGCGCCATTCTCAGTTATTGTGTTTAAGTCCACTGTTACTGCCACTGTGTCAATCATTAGGGATTGTCCTCATTTTTGTTGACCCTCCAAACTACCAAGCATGATGTCCTTCTGCAAGGACTGATCCCTCCTGATAACAGGTCCAAAGTACAAGATACATTCTCACTGTCCTTGCTTCGAAGGAGTACGGATTTGTTCTTCTGACAGTTTATTGTACTTTCAATATTCTTTGCCATAAATCAAATGCATCAGTTCTTCTGTGGTCTTCCTTATTCAGTCTCCATTTTTTTACATGCATATGTGGCAACTGAAATATCATGGGCTTAATTCTGAAGCTTACATCTTTGCTCTTAAATACCTTAAAGAGGTCTTTTGCTGCAGATTTGCCTAATGCAGCATGTCGTTTGATTTCTTGATTGCTGCTTCCATGAGTGTTGATTGTGGACCCATAAGAAATCAAGTCTTTGACAACTTCAAATCTTTTCATCATTTATTATGATGTTATTTATTGCTCCAGTTAGAATTTTTGTTTTCTTTACATTGAGATGCAATCCATACTGAAGGCTGAGGTCACTGATCTTCATCCGTAAGTATCTCAAGTCCTCTTCATTTCCAGCAAGCCTGAGTCATCTGCATATTGCAGGTTGTTAATGAGTCTTCCTCCAATCCTGATACCACATTCTTCTTTATATAACCCAGCATTTCAGATTATCTGCTCAACATGCAGACTGAATAAATATGGTCAAAGGATACAATCCTGTTGCAAGTCTTTCCTGGTGTTAAACGATTCAGTATCCCCTTGTTCTCTTCAAATGACTGTCTCTTGGTTTATGAACAGTTTCCCCACTTAATTTTAACAATTAAAATTAAGTTTTCTGGAATATTCATTCTTCACATTATTATCCAGAGTTTGTTAAATCCACATAGTCGAATGCATTTGCATAGTCAGTAAAGCATAAGTCAACACTTTTCTGGTATTTTCTGCATTCATTCAAGATTCATCTGATGTCAGCAATGATATCCTTTATTCCATATCCTCTTCTGAATCCGGCTTGAACTTCTGGCAGCTCCCTATTGATGTACTGCTGCAATCATTTTTGAATTACCTTCAGCAAAATTTTATTTGAATGTGGTCTTAATGATATTGTTCAATGATGTGTGCATTCTGTTGGGTTACCTTTCTTTGGAATGGGCATAAATCTGGATCTCTTCAAATCAATTGGCCAGGTAGCTGTCTCCCGAATTTTAGTTTAAATGAGTGAGTGATTCCAGTGCTGTATCTGTTTGTTGAAACATTTCCATTTGTGTTTCATTAGTTGCTGAAGACTTGTTTTTCACCAGTGTCTTCAGTGCAGTTTGGACTTCTTACTTCAATACCATTGTTCATGATCATTTATTATCTCTTGAAATGGTTGAGTATTGACCAATTATTTTTGGTACAGTAACTGTGTATTACTTCTATCTTCTTCTGATGTTTCCTGCATCATTCAATATTTTGCCCATGTTGTTGTTAGGTGATGGTGAGTCAGTTCTGACTCAAAGCAATAATGTTATACACAACAAAACAAAACACCACCTTGGTCCTGCACAATCCTCACAATTGCTGTTTTTGAGCCCACTGCAGCTGCCACTTTGTCAGTCCATCTGGTTGGGGACCTTCCTTTTTTTTTCCCTGACCCTCCAACTTTACCAAGAAAAATATCCTCCAGGGACTGGTCTCTTCTGATAATATGTCCCACCTAATAATATATCTGAAGTATTTCGCCCAGGGAATACTTCAGTATTCCAACCCAAGATTTGAGTTTTTTCTTCAGTTCTTTCAGCTTGATGTTGAGTGTGCTCATCCTTTTTGGTTTTTGAACTTTTGAACAGATCATTGCACATTTCACTAAAATACTTTGTCTTCTAGTGCTGCCCAATGAAGTAGTCTGTTTAGCTATTTTACTTCCTCATGTTTCCAGTTGTTTTGCTTCTCTACGTGCAAGAGCCAGTCCCAATCTTTTGACATCCATTTTGGTCTTTTCTTTCTTTTCCGTCTTCTTAATGACTTTTTGCTTTCTAAATCTGTGATGTTCTTGATGTCATCCCAAAACTCTTCTGGTTTTTGGTCACTAGTGTTTCATGCATCAAATCTGTTCTTGAGTTGGTGTATAAATTCAGGTGGGATATATCCAATGTCTTATTTTGGATCTCACAGACTTGTTTTAATATTCTTCAGTTTTAGTCTGAACAAGGCCTTGATTTAACTGATGATATTGACCTTCTCCATCCTCTCTTCATACAGATGTAGTCAATTGGATTCCTATATAGTCTACCTAAGGAGGTCCATGTGTATGTTGTTGAAAAAAGGTATTTGCACTGTATTAAGTCACTGGTCTTGTTAAATTCTATCATGAGATCTCCACCATCATTTCTGTTATTTTCCAACTTTCACATTCCAATCACCAGTAATTATCAATGCATCTTGATTGCATGTTTGATCAATTTCAGACTGAAGAAGTTGGTTGTTGTGTTAAGTGCTGTCGAGTTGGTTCCGGCTTATAATGATCCTTTATAGAGTTTCTGAGGAGCAGCTGGTGTGTTTGAACTGCTGACCTTCATGGTTCAAGGGTTTACCCTATGGCGCCACACCAGGACTCTGATGGTAGTGGTAGAATTCTTTAATTTCATCACCACTGTTTTTAGAGGTTGATGTGTAAATTTGAATAACTGTGGCATTAACTGATATTCCTTGTAGACTTATAAATATTATCCTATCACAGACAGCACTGTACTTCAAGAGAGGTCTTGAAATGTTCTTTTTGATGACAAATGCAGTAACGCTCCTCTTCCATTTGATGTTCTCAGAATAGTAAACTATATGATTGCCTGATTTGAAATGGCTAATACCAGTCCATCTCAGCTTAATAATGCTTAGGATATCAATCTTTTATGATTTCAACTTCATTTTGACAACACCCAATTTTCCTAGATTCATACTTCTTACATTCCATGTTTCAATTATTCATGTATATTTGCAGCTATTTCTTGTCATTTTGAGTTGTGCCATCAGCAAATGAAGGTCCTGAAGGCTTTGCTCCATTCATGTCATTAAAGTCAATTTTACTTTGAGGAGGAGCTCTTTATCCATTTTATTTTGAATACCTTCCAACGTGAACTTCTGACAATGTTTGCTGGTATTCATAAGGTTTTCAATGGCTAATCATTCACAAGTGGTCCACCTCTCCTTCTTCCTATTCTTTTTTAGTATGGAAGCTCCACTGAAACTGATCCACCATGGCTGGTGGCCCTATTGGTACTTTAAACACTGGTGGTTTATCTTACAGCATCACAGCAACACACAAGCCACCACAGAAAACAAACTGACAAGCAGGTGGTAGTCTATTTTTTTACTAGCTCTCAAATATATCCTTCGTCCATCAGTAGGCACTGCTGTAACTCAAGTCTTCATCTGTCTCATTTATTACTACTATAAACAACACGCTACCAGGTTTCCCTGCTTCAAGTCTCATTTCCTTAAATCCACTCTCCATACTGCATGCTGCAGGGCCAGAGAGCTTCCTAAAATGCTGATATATTCAAGTCATTCTCTAGCTCAAAGCCCCTTATAGTGACTTTTTATACTAGGATAAAATTAATAGAGAATTAACAAGGTACGAATCACTTGGGAATCTTGTTAAAACATACACTCTGATTCAGCATATCTGCAGTGCAAAAACAAATTCTTATCAGGAGTCAATCTAGAATTAATCAGTTGGAAGTCCTGCTCTGAACATTCCAGACTATTTGTTTCCTGGAAATTTCATATTCTTATATGCACACTGTTGTCACTATCTGAATTACCTTGGTTTTGCTGTTTAAAGACATCAATATTTACAGTATGCCAATAAATTAAATCAGGACATCTACTGTAGTTGAGTTTAAAACAAAGAATCTGAAAACAATCTAGAGACCATCAAGAGGTGACTTAGGGACTACCTGTACAACAGAGCATGCCAGTTTAATGGATGCTTTTATTGGTTTTAAAAGGAGTATATCTGTACTTACTGAAATAATCCAGTGACTAAGATGTAGTAAGTAAACAAAGCAAGTTATCAAAAAGTATATATACAGTGATCTCAAGTAAAAATTATACACGAATATACATGTGTGCATGCCTGTGTGTGGACATACAGAAAATATTTACGATAGTACGAGCAGGTTTCAAAATGTTTGTGTAAAAATGGAATTAAAAGACAATGGAATCCAGCAATTCCTCTACTTGGTATGTACCCACAAGAAATACGAGCCATAACACGAGTAGATATATGCACACCAATGTTCATAAGCAGAACTATTTACAATAGCAAAAAGGAGATAGCTAAACTGCCCATCAACTGAAGAATGGATAAACAAACTGTGGTACATACACACAATGGAATACTATGCTACCTTGAAGAATAACAAGGAGGCTGCAAGCCACCACATAACATGGATGAAC